CCCCAAAACCCCAAAACCCCAAAACCCCAAAACCCCAAAACCCCAAAACCCCATACTTAAATTAAGTAATTGAAGTATTTCGAATTGAATAGAGAACCTACAGAATTCATAATCGAATGAAATAATAGCCTAGATTTCGACAAAACCAAGATCTTCAGAATCTTCAATCTTTAGTTCCCAGTCAGATTTGAACAATACGTAAGCATTCATGACTGTGTTTCCAATGACTCCTAGGATGTAGCCTGAGATGATTCCTTTCATGCCCATCTCGAGTGGAAAGGCGAGTATAATGGCAGCAGGCAGAGTTATTAGTCCATATGAAATGAAACTGACAATAGAGGATTCTCCTTGTTCGCCTATTCCTCTGATGACTCCTCCAATGACAATTTGAAGAGAATCAAATATAAACATGATAATGATGTAAAATAAGCTATCTGTGTACATCATTACTATATCTTCTTCATTTGAAAATATTCTTATAATCTCTGTTGAAAATAGAAGATATATGGTCGTCATCAGGATGCACATGATAAACTCTATTAATCCAATATAAGCTAGAATCCTTTTGGCTTCTTCTTTACCACATTCGGCAAGAGTTCTTCCAATCACAGAGCTTGTCGCTTGAGATAGCCCATAAGAGAAATCATAAACAAATGTATGGGTATTGAAAATGATGACTATAGTAGCTAGCTCCCTTACGCCAATCCATCCTGTGAGAATGGTCAAGAACTCATACATCCACCACTCAGAGCAGATAATGAACGCACAGGGAAGAGCTAGACCCAGATAGGCCCACCATTGATCAAAAGCACCTTCTGTAACAGGCAGTTCATTAACTTCATCAAGAATATCTTTGGCAAAATATCAGACACAAACATAACTGAGGAACATAGTGATGTTGCAAATCAAGGCTCAGATTATAACGGGGTCACCTTCGATAAAGTTAAGTGTGAGAGAGATGGCAACAACGTGGAACCCCACAGAGACCAGCTCTCCTTTTAGAATCAAGTTAAAAATGACCCATTGCTTGTAGGTATCTTCTTAAAGTATCAAATTGAATAAAGACGAATAACCCTGGAATTTGAAAGACGAGGAACTTCTGAGCAACGATTGCAACTTCTGAATCTTGATCAAGAAAGACCAATATCTCCTTTGATAATGCCAACATAATAGCGCAAGGAATGAACATGAACGAATTAATCATCCTCGCTCTGTTTAGGGTCAGGTTTCAGCCACCATAATCCCTTACTCCATAATATTGGGAAACCAAAGTGTCTATAGCTCCGTTGAGACCTTCAAATGCTCCAAATATGAACATATTGATGAACATCACGCCAAGACCAATACCCGCTACTTGAACCACAGACCCATAATTACTAACCATAGCCATATTAAAGATCTCTGGAAGAACCGATAAAGCAATGGTAAAAATAGCCAGGATTGCTTCCAAGTTGAACTTGAGGAGACTGGGGGTGGCCTTACTTTGAGGGGAGTTTGGAGAAATGTAGATTTTGGAGGTCTTGGGGGGTTTCAGGGTTCATGGATTTTGAAGAGAATTTGTAGAGCAGGTTCATTGTCATTTCGTTCTCGGTTCCGTCTGTTGAAGGTTTCATGATTTTGAATTCTTGATAAATAATATTACGATCTTTCTATTCAATCTGATTTAAAAATAGGGGTTTTGGGGTTTTGGGGTTTTGGGG